GGTCATATGCCCGACATTCCCGTGTCGAGTCCAGGAAAGAAGGAAATTGAAGAAATAGAAAAAGACTGAGAGAAGATGCAAAAGAAAAGTTGTACTTGATAGACTCCCCATTTTATTGCTCAAAATAATCTACCTCGATCTCCTGTATAGGTCAAATAAAATTAATCTAAACAAAGTAGAGTAGATAAATTAGAGAACAAAATACATATATATTGAAAAATAAATAAAAGGCAGTTAAAAAATAATTATAATAATAAAGAACTAGCGAAAACTATATGAAGTGCCAGTGTGGGAGGAGATAGTAAAAATATGTAAGTGGTGTGAATTGTGGGAGGCAATGATTAAACTATGTCTGAGTTAATATGTAGTTTGTGCTGAATAAATTAATAGGAAGATTAGTTGAAAATAAAATAGAAAGTGGAGTGAATGGAAGTATGTGAACACCATAAACCATTCAAAGAGTTGACTAGTACCCAAAATGGTACCCCTTCTGTTAGGTACCCACCATAGCTTTAAAAAAAAAAAAAAAAAAAAAAAAAAAAAAAAAAAAAACAGTAGTTTCTCTAGCAACCTTTGTGGCATTACAGGTGTGGTATGGAATCCCTAATGAAAGGGTTCCCAAGTCTCCACTAAATAGTGGGTAAGGTAGGGAGGGAGGGAGGTGTGTAAATGAGAGTGTTGGAGGCATAAAAACAAATAAAATTGGTTAACAGTTAAATAGTTAGAAAAAGCACCAATATTGAGCGACCAACAACTGCGATGCAGCCACGTCCAACACAAATATACAGTGCAAAGTAAAATGTTAAAAGTTAAAAACACCGATATTGAGCGACCAACAAACTGCAATGCAGCCACGTCCAACACAATACACAGTGCAAAATAAAACAAAAGGAACTGAAGGGTTAATATATAATATAATATAAAGTTAGGCACCTTGAAACGAGGGAAACAGGTTTCTAGGGCAAATAGATCCATTAGCTATAACCGTAGCAAGATGCCTGCAGCATTTTTAATTGACACATGAAAGTACTGAAAGGTCTTGGAAAAAAAAAGGTAAATGATTACTTACTCTACAATACTTCAGATAGCCTCCGTAGCAGACCAATTAGCGAGCAAAAAAACTTGGAAACTCCTCAGTTAGTAGACAAAAATTCCTCTTCTCATGGATGTGGCCCACAAAAAGTAGCTAAAACAATTTTTCTGCTGCTCACGCCATAGTTAATCGTCAGCATGATGACGTACAAAATGAGAGGAGTCTGGGGACGAACTTATCCCAGCTGAATGAAAACGAAAATGGATGAAAAAAGGGGGTTACCCTACTTAAACATGACTTTTTTTAAAAAAATAGATAAATAAATAAATAAACTGCCAACCAGAAAATATAATTATCTATAATGTTATTTCGTTCTTAAAACTTTGAAAGTGGCTAAAAAACCAGTTGCTGTTCTAGTGGAAAATGGGAGGAGCATGGGGATGAATTTATCCCAGCTAAATGAATAAGGAAATGGGCGGGGAAAAAAAAAAAAAAAAAAAAAAAAAAAAGGGGGGGGGGTTAAACCCTCTTTAAAAATTGTTATTAAAGAAGATAAATTGCTAACCACAAAATATGATGATCTATAATATTATTTCGTTCTTTAGAACATCGAGAGTAAGGGAAAAAAAATTGTAGCTGTTCTAATTAAAGGAGGGTGTTAAAAAAGAACAGGGGACTCAAGTAAAAAATAAATAAATAAAAACAAAACAAAACAAAACAAAAAAAAAAAACATCTACAATAAAAAGACGAAGAGAGAAAAGAAATAAAACAACAACAGCAACAACAACAAGAATACCCATCCCGAATTACTTCGTTTTGAACTTTTTAGTGTAAAATTCCAGGAAGTAGAAAAAGGTAATTTGCAGATAAAAGAAAACATGGAAGAGTAGGAAAGAGAAGGTTAAGAGACCCGGTATATTGGGACAATGGATGCATCGACACCAAGGCTCTAAAAAGTTGTGAATCATCAGGGGCATAGCACAACTGAGCAGGAATGTTTCTAACCCGGTACCAGGTCATATGCCCGACATTCCCGTGTCGAGTCCAGGAAAGAAGGAAATTGAAGAAATAGAAAAAGACTGAGAGAAGATGCAAAAGAAAAGTTGTACTTGATAGACTCCCCATTTTATTGCTCAAAATAATCTACCTCGATCTCCTGTATAGGTCAAATAAAATTAATCTAAACAAAGTAGAGTAGATAAATTAGAGAACAAAATACATATATATTGAAAAATAAATAAAAGGCAGTTAAAAAATAATTATAATAATAAAGAACTAGCGAAAACTATATGAAGTGCCAGTGTGGGAGGAGATAGTAAAAATATGTAAGTGGTGTGAATTGTGGGAGGCAATGATTAAACTATGTCTGAGTTAATATGTAGTTTGTGCTGAATAAATTAATAGGAAGATTAGTTGAAAATAAAATATAAAGTGGAGTGAATGGAAGTATGTGAACACCATAAACCATTCAAAGAGTTGACTAGTACCCAAAATGGTACCCCTACTGTTAGGTACCCACCATAGCTTTTAAAAAAAAAAAAAAAAAAAAAAAAAAAAAAAACAGTAGTTTCTCTAGCAACCTTTGTGGCATTACAGGTGTGGTATGGAATCCCTAATGAAAGGGTTCCCAAGTCTCCACTAAATAGTGGGTAAGGTAGGGAGGAGGGTGTGTGTAAATGAGAGTGTTGTAGGCATAAAAACAAATAAAATTGGTTAACAGTTAAATAGTTAGAAAAAGCACCAATATTGAGCGACCAACAACTGCGATGCAGCCACGTCCAACACAAATATACAGTGCAAAGTAAAATGTTAAAAGTTAAAAACACCGATATTGAGCGACCAACAAACTGCAATGCAGCCACGTCCAACACAATACACAGTGCAAAATAAAACAAAAGGAACTGAAGGGTTAATATATAATATAATATAAAGTTAGGCACCTTGAAACGAGGGAAACAGGTTTCTAGGGCAAATAGATCCATTAGCTATAACCGTAGCAAGATGCCTGCAGCATTTTTAATTGACACATGAAAGTACTGAAAGGTCTTGGAAAAAAAAAAGGTAAATGATTACTTACTCTACAATACTTCAGATAGCCTCCGTAGCAGACCAATTAGCGAGCAAAAAAAAAAAACTTGGAAACTCCTCAGTTAGTAGACAAAATTCCTCTTCTCATGGATGTGGCCCACAAAAAAAAAGTAGCTAAAACAATTTTTCTGCTGCTCACGCCATAGTTAATCGTCAGCATGATGACGTACAAAATGAGAGGAGTCTGGGGACGAACTTATCCCAGCTGAATGAAAACGAAAATGGATGAAAAAAGGGGGTTACCCTACTTAAACATGACTTTTTTTAAAAAAATAGATAAATAAATAAATAAACTGCCAACCAGAAAATATAATTATCTATAATGTTATTTCGTTCTTAAAACTTTGAAAGTGGCTAAAAAACCAGTTGCTGTTCTAGTGGAAAATGGGAGGAGCATGGGGATGAATTTATCCCAGCTAAATGAATAAGGAAATGGGCGGGAAAAAATAAAACGAAAAAAAAAAAAAAAGGGGGGGGGGTTAAACCCTCTTTAAAAATTGTTATTAAAGAAGATAAATTGCTAACCACAAAATATGATGATCTATAATATTATTTCGTTCTTTAGAACATCGAGAGTAAGGGAAAAAAAAAAATTTGTAGCTGTTCTAATTAAAGGAGGGTGTTGTTAAAAAGAACAGGGGACTCAAGTAAAAAACAAAAACAAATACAAAAAAAAAAAAAAAAAAAAAAAAAAAAAAAAAAAAAACAAAAAAAAAACATCTACAATAAAAAGAGGAAGTGGGAAAAGAAATAAAACAACAACAGCAACAACAAAAAGAATACCCATCCCGAATTACTTCGTTCTTGAAACTTTTTAGTGTAAAATTCCAGGAAGTAGAAAAAGGTAATTTGCAGATAAAAGAAAACATGGAAGAGTAGGAAAGAGAAGGTTAAGAGACCCGGGTATATTGGGACAATGGATGCATCGACACCAAGGCTCTAAAAAGTTGTGAATCATCAGGGGCATAGCACATTTTTTCATTGAACGAAAACGATCAAAATATTGAAAATAATGAAAAATCTCCAAAATATTACACTTTCGTTCAAACTGAGTAAATCACCACTTAGAATGTGTGCAATTAAGTACTCTTCTGAATAAGTTTTTTGTTGTCCGCATTTCAATGGATTTGAATTTTAAACCGATTTTTTTGCGACACATGGTCTCGGGCCTGGAAAACCCGGTCCGAGAGCCGCGAAACCAATAACCCCCCCGTACGTGGAAAATAATTATCGGATCGAAGTAAAAATTACATTTATGTTAATAGCTTACCTAGTGCTACTTTGTGAATTTTTTTGAGAATTTTCGATTTTTCACTTTTGTAGACCTCTGGTCGATATTTACTGACATCCGCTCTTAAGTTTCCTTATGGATTATTATAATTCTTATGAAGGCCAAGCCACAGTTACAAACCGCCAGTGAGGACAGCCTCGTTCAGTAAAATATCACTGTACTGCTTTTTTTTACAACTTTGTTTACTCGGAAGCTGAGATTTCGTTGCCCTCATGATAAGGATGTAACTGTTTTCTGACAAATGACAGTATAGCTGCCCCTAGACTCGTACCCAGGTGAAAAAAGATTAGGGTTGGGTTAAGGCCTACGCGGTACTGTGAACAGCTTCGGAGATACTTTATAGCACGCTTTTATCAGCCATTTATAATCAGAGCAGCTGGACCAGTTATAGATATCAAAATCATTTCTCTTTTTGACAATTCTATTTTTCGTTTGTTTGTAAAATGTTGTAGTATACGTTCTAATGATTGTGTTGTGATTTAGATATAAGGGGCTTGCTTAGTGCTGCAGACTCGTTCACCTCTAAGCGTCTACTTGTACAATAAGCTCAGCTCAAATATCAAAGCCGGTGTCACGCATTATATTAA